GTGTGCGTGTGCGTGTGCGTGTGCGTGTGCGCGTGTGCGTGTGTGTGTGTGTGTGCGTGTGCGTGTGTGTGTGTGTGTGTGTCTGTGTCTGTGTGTTTGTGTGTCATAACAGCTGCTGCAAGTTAAGTATATATATATTACAGTAGGTCTGCATAAGGAGAAATCCAAGTCTTCTCTATCAAACAACCTGATGTCATAAGAGATCAGATAAAACAGATAAATGTTGCAAAGAAACCAATAAAAAAATTCAAATTCAAATTCAAAAATTTTATTTTATTATGCAGTTTACTAGTTCACTTGCATTTCATCTTACAAACACACGAGGGCGGCAGAAATCTTTTGTTATTTGTTCTGAAGTGAAGTAAAAAAAATCTGGCAGGCATAAAAAGAAGAGAGAAAAAAATATATATATATATTAAAAAGAGGTTAAAATTTTTAAGAACAAATAAATGATTAATAGTGAATATATGCTATATTAATGTCAAAAGTACAGAAGCAGGAAGCAGATACATGCAGAATTTTAAGTCTTCGAGGAAAAAAAAATGTAAAAAAAAAAAAACTTACTCTTACAAAATTGAAACCTGTGTATAAAATAGCTTGCCAAAAAGAAAATAAGATCGATTAAATAAACACATACAAAACTTCTCTCTCAAAAATGTGTACAACCAAGAATAACATTTTCATATTACAAAGGGATATCATCAGGACGCGTGCTACAAAAACAGCTGGTTAAAGTTAGTTTTTTTTAACAGCTGGTTAAAGTGCAATTTCAGCAGAAGGTCTCAGTGACGACATCCTCGGCTGCAGCACGTCACATCCGCCAGAGGGCGCTGATATCAAAGCATGCGCCTTCGGCATCTACAGAAAGCACAATGTAGCTGTTTTTGTATCTTTGGCACAGTCACAGAGGTCATTCAAAACAACAGCAGCGCCGCAGCAGTGACTCAGAGCTGAGCGGGAGCGGCACCGAGCCTCGGGAGGAGCTTTGAAGAAGTCGAAGCAGGAACAATAAGCAGATGGATCTGGAAGAGTCGCGCTGATCAGACTCGACGAGGAGCGGCACGACGCTTTTATCATTTGGTTAAAAGTCTCGAGGATGACCGTCCGGTGGCTCTCGGTAAGGGACGGACTCGTGTCCGGCCAAAGCAGACAAAGTGTGCTTATTTCTGCAAGTTAAATGGCTTTATATTACCTTTGCTCGGTTTGTGTGAACTTTCGGTTCGTTCAGAAATGTTGCGAAAACTGTGTATGAATGGTGCAGGTCACTTCAGGTCAGACAAAGAAGTGATTTTTGGACATGGTCTGAATGTCCTGTTGTGTTTTGGGTATTTGTAGGGTATTTGGATATAGTAGTCATTCTAAACTTTGCACACTTTTATGTCTCAAGTGTTATTTGTATTATTATTATTTTTAATATTATTAAAAGAATAGTTTTTCGGTAACCCTTTACAATATGGTTCCATTAGGTAATTTATTAGAGTATTACATTTATTACAGTATTTATTCATCTTTGTTAATGTTAGTTAATAAAAATGCAGTCGATCGTTGTTCATGTTCACTCATTAACAAGCACAACTTTTGATTTTAATAATGCATTAGTAAATGTTGAGATTAACATGAACTAAGATTAATAAATGCTGTAGAAGTATTGTTCATGTTAACTAAAGTAGTTAACTAATGACATTTCTTTGTGTTATACATCTTTAAATATGTTATAATTTTAAAAAAAAAACATTTATATATATATATATATATATATAAAAAACACTAGCTTTCTATTTTTCTTATTCTATCTACTTGTTTTTCTTTGTGTGTGTATATGTGTGTGTGTATAATATATATATGTATATATACATACACACCTTGCTACGTGTACTGCGTTAGGCTAACCGAGACTTATCATTTGCACTTATATTATAAGTGATAAGTTATATTATAATGTTGCTCTTTTGTTAGTTTTGACTGCTTTTATTGTCCTCATTTGTAAGTCGCTTTGGTTAAAAGCGTCTGCTAAATGACTAAAAAAATAAATTATATATATATACACATGTGTTTATACATGCAGGCTGTTTTAAACACCTTGTCAGTTCAATTTTGTTTTATTTACTAAACACAAAAATTCATAGTGTAATAGTTAAGAAAGAGTAAATCTACATATGTGATTACTAGTAGGCATAATTTAATTTATATGAAATTCAAATTCATTATTACTAAATAATTTAACTCTAACCATAAGTAAGACTAAATAATGTATGTAAACCCCAGATGCAGAATTTTATTTATCTTAAAACATGAAAAATGATTACAAAAATCTTAATTAATACATATTTAAAACTATCATAATCTAAACAAAGAATGAAATAATCATAAACCATTTCAGTATTTATTATGTGATGATTTATATATTTTTTTTCTGGCATTGTATTCACCACGTTGAACAATTTTTGTACCCAAAGTACTTTCCAATCAAGCTTTGATTTTGTCAAATTATACCAAAAAAAACAAACAAAAAAATGATTTAATTGTGTGTTCAGGATACATAAACTTCTAGCAGTGAAATGAGCCTTAGACTAGACTCTTGTAGTTCTGTTTATATATATATCTCACAATTCAGAGTTTTCTTTTTAGAATAGTGAGCAAACATCTTGCAGTTCAGCACATCATACAAACACTGGCACGTCTCAGTGCTGTTAAATCAGCACTTTTGGGATGCCAGTCAAATTAAAAGACCAGCATTAATTGTTATATAAATAAAAATATAAAAAATTCAATATTTGCATTAAGGTGCATCACACTTAGAAGAGTTTTTAGCTGGTCTTGAGTATGAATATGATTTCATGCTGACTCTGCAGCCTTCAGCTTCCACATCTGTGACTGCTTGAGGTATCATTTTAACTCTGAAAATAGAAGACGGGAAGTGGCTCGCGTTGATGGCTTAGGCTGTTATTAGGGCTGACAGATGCTCGCCAGTGCCAAAATGAAACCGAATGCATATGCTTTCTTTGGATTGCACAAGGCACTTCGAGGGGAATAAAAGAAAACATGTTTGAACATTTAAAGAGCCTGGCAGGTTTGTTCATGTTCAGCTAATGATTCATTTAAGATTAATTACATGAATTTATTAAAGGAATAGTTCAGCCAAATATGAAAGTTTGCTGAATGTATTCATCTTCAGTCCATCCAAGATGTAGAGGAGCTTGTTTCTTCATCAGATTTGTATAAATGTAGCATTGCATCACTTGCTCAGCAATGAATCCTCTGCAGTGAATGGGTGCCGTCAGAATGAGAGTCCAAACAGCTGATAAAAACATCACAATAATCTACAAATAATCAACACAACTCCAGTCCATCAGTTAACATCCGGAGAAGCCAAAAGCTGCGTGTTTGTAAGAAACAAATCCATCATTAAGATGTTTTTAACTTCAAACCATTGATTCAGGCCAAAACACGAGTACGTAAAATATTAGTTTAAAGCTCTTTTAGACTGTTTTCCCTTGTAAACAGTGCTTGATCTGAGCATATTTCTCTCCTGATTCCTGACTTTTTCCACTGAAGAAAACACTATAATGGTTAATGGACTCATATTTTAGCTGGAAGCAATGGTTTAAAGTTAAAAATGTGAATTTTTTAATTATAGACTCGCATATTTTGCTTCACAAGATGTTAACTGGTGGACTGGAGTGGTGTGGATTGCTTGTGGGTTATTGTGATGTTTTTATCAGCTGTTTGGACTCTCATTCTGACGGCACCCATTCACTGCAGAGCATCCATTGCTGAGACACTGATGCAATGCTGAATTTCTCCAAATCTGATGAAGAAACAAACTCATCTGCATCTTGGATGGCCTGAGCGGGGGAGTACATTTTCAGCACATTTCAATTTTTGGGTGAACTATTCCTTTAAGACGTAATTTAAAGATAATGAAACTTAATTTCTGGCTAATGCACATGTGGATTTGTTTACGCAGGGTCTGCAGTGATGCAGTGAAGATGGGCGCTGTTGTGGAGAGTCAGGCAGGCGTGGGCGGTTGAGCTGGCGTCGAGTACAGGAAGAATGCACTTATCTCATGTTGGCACCAACAAAATCTGCTTCCTACTTTCCCTGGCGTTCTGTGCCCTACTGGTGCTGCTTATTCCCTCCTTACAACCTCTGCAGCGTCAGAAGGATCTGCCCCAACCCCGGCCCCGTACCAGGCCCGCCGGAGCCGGACGCAGGCATGACCTCTACAGGAACCCCGGCCAAGGAAGCGATGATGACAAGGATGGTAGTTTCATTCACCCACTTCCTCCTAGAGGCCAACCCGAGGACCCACAGAGGATGTTAGAGGGAGACGCTGCACACGCCAGATCCCCTGGGTCCCGTTCCAAAGACTCTTTGGATTTGAGAGACATTTTTATTGCTGTTAAGACCACCAGGAAATATCACAAGTCCAGATTGCAGCTCCTGTCCCAGACCTGGGTGTCCAAAGCCAAGGAACAGGTAGGGAGGTGTTTTAACGGTCTGCGTATTAAAACTCAATAGTCAATTATTTTGCCATCCACTAGAGGTAAAACTCCCAATACATTCTTTTTGATCTTATTAACTATGGATGCCACAATTTTCAATATAATATTGAACCGGCTTGGTACGACATTCACGGTTTAATTCATGCTTGTGAATTGCAGAGTTTTTTTTTGGTTTTTGCGTTTAAATCATTTCCGAAAAAAAAATGTATTGCAGACATTTGACAGGCAATGAGGCAGTGGTTTCATGTGTGCTGTTCTGCAGGTGGTTCTGTCACATGGATGATGATAACTACGTGATCCTGCCAAGTTTGCTGGAGCTGCTGTCGTCCTACTCTCACACACAGGACGTGTATCTGGGCAGACCCAGTCTGGACCATCCCATAGAGGCCGCTGAGAGGGTCAAGAGCGACGGATCGGTGAGCCGTCTTGTCTTTTGATTTAAAAGAGAGGGTAGGGCTAATTAAGCGGTGGAGACCAGGGGCCAGTTGCATAAACTTAGCCTCTATGTCAAGACAGTGTCTTCAGAACTAGTCTGACCAACTAGCAGTTAGCCAAGGGGTAATCAGTCTTATTTTTTGGATTCAGCTTAGACTAATCTATGTGTTTAAGTAACCAAAAAAAAAAAAAAAGACCTGTCTTAAAGAAAAAAAAATTAGATGACTAACTTGTAAGACTAGTCTAAATATTTTATGCAACCGACATTTTATTGCTGTGATCAAAGCTGTATTTTCAGCATCATTACTCCAGTCTTCAGCATCACATGATCTTCAGAAATCATTCTAATATGCTGATTTGCTGCTCAAGAAACAGTTCTGATTATTATCAATGTTGAAAACAGTTGTGCTGCTTCATGTTTTTATGAAAACCGTGGTACTTTTTTTTTTTCAGGATTCTTTGATGAATAGACCGTTCTAAAAACAGCATTTATTTTCTGTCACTTTTGATCAATTTAATGCATCTTTGCCTAAGAAAAGCAGTAGTTTATCATGAATATCTTCTGTAGGTATCAGTGAAGTTCTGGTTTGCCACTGGAGGTGCTGGATTCTGCATCAGCCGAGGCTTAGCTCTCAAAATGAGTCCATGGGCAAGGTAAGTTCATTTTTAATCTTCGCTCAGTGACCTTACACTGATTATGCTGTCAGAAATTGTGTAAGGTCATGAAAATGCCATAAAGTGTTAATTTTTGGTAAGAAAGGTCATACACTGTTTAAGCAAAACAAAACTGACATGCATACATTTCTGCCTGTTTTCCAAATCCACTTCACATGTAAACACACCTTTCAGCATTCTTGTCAGCTTTATTCAGCGTGCACATGACTGACTATGCAGTCATTTTGACATTAACAACTTATATTTATATATTCAAGACACCATCATTTCAAAATCATGTGTAAACAGCTATTTTCATGGTTGGTTCGTGAATTTGCATGTAGGCCTCTAAAACAGGTTTACATGCAAATCGATAAAATGTCTTTTGGTAGTTATCAGTGTTTTAGCATGCATGTAAGCACATCCTTTTTACACTGAATTAAAGCCCTTGTGTGAATTGCTATTGGAAACATAATTTCTTTTTTCTTTCTCTCTCTCACAGTCTTGGAAACTTCATTACAACTGCAGAGAAGATCCGCCTTCCGGACGACTGTACAGTAGGTTACATCATCGAGGCTCTGCTGGAAGTTCCACTGACACACACAGGCCTGTTCCACTCACACCTGGAGAATCTGCAGAGACTCCCAACAGACAACATACTCCAACAGGTCAGATCACTGAACGGCCCATGGGCTAAAAGAGTGGGGATTTCTCCAGACGTCCAGCATAATGTGTAAAACAGACATATTAAACGTTTCCACAGTTTTTTTGCAATCCTGCATAATTTGCCATTTAAGCGCAAAATAATCACTTTCTGACACATTAGTATGAAAAAGAGACATGCATAAATGAGAAAGCGTGGATGTTTTTTAAAAAAAGAGTTAAGTGCTATAAGCTGCTGCACACATGCACAGTCTAATGCACACCAAATTGCAAATGGTAAAAGTGTATAAATGTTTGCAAAAAAAATCGGATGTCTATACTGATATATATTGGATCAGTGAATTAAGTCTTAAAGGGCCTGTTTACACCTAAATGGAAACTGTTAAAACGTTTCCATTTACACTTGGCCACATAAATGTGTTGTCGCAAAACGGGTTTAAATCCGATCTTCAATTCCCACGCTATATTCAAATTTAAAGTAGTTCACGTCATACACTGTTTAAGCAAAACAAAACTGACATGCATACATTTCTGCCTGTTTTCCAAATCCACTTCACATGTAAACACACCTTTCAGCATTCTTGTCAGCTTTATTCAGCGTGCACATGACTGACTATGCAGTCATTTTGACATTAACAACTTATATTTATATATTCAAGACACCATCATTTCAAAATCATGTGTAAACAGCTATTTTCATGGTTGGTTCGTGAATTTGCATGTAGGCCTCTAAAACAGGTTTACATGCAAATCGATAAAATGTCTTTTGGTAGTTATCAGTGTTTTAGCATGCATGTAAGCACATCCTTTTTACACTGAATTAAAGCCCTTGTGTGAATTGCTATTGGAAACATAATTTCTTTTTTCTTTCTCTCTCTCACAGTCTTGGAAACTTCATTACAACTGCAGAGAAGATCCGCCTTCCGGACGACTGTACAGTAGGTTACATCATCGAGGCTCTGCTGGAAGTTCCACTGACACACACAGGCCTGTTCCACTCACACCTGGAGAATCTGCAGAGACTCCCAACAGACAACATACTCCAACAGGTCAGATCACTGAACGGCCCATGGGCTAAAAGAGTGGGGATTTCTCCAGACGTCCAGCATAATGTGTAAAACAGACATATTAAACGTTTCCACAGTTTTTTTGCAATCCTGCATAATTTGCCATTTAAGCGCAAAATAATCACTTTCTGACACATTAGTATGAAAAAGAGACATGCATAAATGAGAAAGCGTGGATGTTTTTTAAAAAAAGAGTTAAGTGCTATAAGCTGCTGCACACATGCACAGTCTAATGCACACCAAATTGCAAATGGTAAAAGTGTATAAATGTTTGCAAAAAAAATCGGATGTCTATACTGATATATATTGGATCAGTGAATTAAGTCTTAAAGGGCCTGTTTACACCTAAATGGAAACTGTTAAAACGTTTCCATTTACACTTGGCCACATAAATGTGTTGTCGCAAAACGGGTTTAAATCCGATCTTCAATTCCCACGCTATATTCAAATTTAAAGTAGTTCACGTCAACGAAATCAAAAGATAAGCGCTGCATTTTATTAATTATAAGCTCATTTCAAGATCAAAGATCAAGCAATAGGAGAGTACATTCATACATGTCATCAGCACTGGAAAGATAAGTTTGTCTTACTACTTTTAATGAAGATGATTGTGTGTTGAGCGTCTGCGTCTTACTTTGTTTAATTTGCGGCAGTTTGCGCGTCTCGTCCGCAGTTATGCGTGTTGCATTAGCATAGTCATATCTGACTATAATGTCATATAGCCTACGCTCTCACACGTTTATTATTTGAACATTTTGGGAGGAGTAAAATTGACATATGTGGTTTCAACAACCAGATGCATTTACACTTGTCCAGTTTCGTCTGGAATGCGGCACCAGAACACCTCCTGAAGTGGTTTGAGCGATCGGATTTATATCCGTCTCGAATGAGATAAGTTTGTCTTACTACTTTTAATGAAGATGATTGTGTGTTGAGCGTCTGCGTCTTACTTTGTTTAATTTGCGGCAGTTTGCGCGTCTCGTCCGCAGTTATGCGTGTTGCATTAGCATAGTCATATCTGACTATAATGTCATATAGCCTACGCTCTCACACGTTTATTATTTGAACATTTTGGGAGGAGTAAAATTGACATATGTGGTTTCAACAACCAGATGCATTTACACTTGTCCAGTTTCGTCTGGAATGCGGCACCAGAACACCTCCTGAAGTGGTTTGAGCGATCGGATTTATATCTGTCTCGAATGCGTTTCAGAGGGCATTTACACCTGGTCTTTTCACGATCGGATAGCTATCCGATCAGACAAAACGCATGAAGTGACCAGGTGTAAACAGCCCCAAAGTGACTCTAGCCTAATATACCCGTCGCTGTCCGTGTCATTTAATGTTAATCAAACAACAAAAGACAGAGAAACTCTCTCACTGCTCTTGATTCAGTAATATTAGTAGCTTTAATAAGATTCAGTATATGTCATTCATACATGTCATAATAGTGTTTTACATTGTGAATTGTATGTAGGAATTCAATTTTACATTCAAATATAAAATGTCTGTACTGTTTGTTTTTACCTGATACTAAACCTACTTGAAAAAATATTAAAGCACTCTTTATTTCATTTGTATCTTTGTTTCTTTGTTCTTATTTTTAATAACAGAAAATATTGTATAAAAGTTAAAAAAAGGCAAAAATAAACCAGATTTCTGCCCTTTTATTTGTTTGTTATTTTTTACACCTGTCATGTTTGACTATTGTACATATAGTGTCATACATAATATGGTAAATATTATAAAAATAACAGTGCAGATTTCCCACAAATTCTGGAAATTACCACCATATAATCAGTGATTTTGATCACAACAGAAATCACCCAAAGATTGTGAAATCCTGTCGTGACTGGTTAATGTTGTAGCACCATGGTTGTCCAAACTAGCATACACTCGCGGTGTTTCTAAAGCAGTGTTTGATAGTGTCCTGTGCAGCTGGATTTGGCTTTGATCCCAGATTGTTCCCACACACTTAATTTACCCCATCTGTGTAAATATATATCCCACTTACATAATACTCCAGTCCCATGATGATCGAGATCCTCACAGGTTCTGTGTTTCTTTGCTGTCCTCCATAGGTGACCCTCAGTTATGGTGGATTCGAGAACAGGAGGAATGTGGTCAGTGTTGGAGGAGCGTTCTCATTGGCTGAAGACCCTACACGGTACACTAAATACATACAGTCTTGAAAAACATAGCTTTTCTATTACTTCAAAAAGTTTTAGTGCAAGACTTTATTAAGCAACTATTATCTCTTCAGGTTTAAAACGGTTCACTGCCTACTCTACCCAGACACAGAATGGTGCCCACACAAGACTCGTCACTGACCTCTGGGATATGAATGCCTCATCGACCTTTCCATAAATCTCTTCATACCAAAATAATACTCTGAGTAACTGAGCTGGTTGGCAGTATGTAAAGGCAGTTAAAGGAATAGGGAGTAAAAAGTTAAGGAAAGGAATAAGGAATCCAAAAATTGAACTTTGTTGAAAATGGGCTCACCTACAAGCCATCCAAGATTTAGATGAGTTTGTTTCTTCATCATATTTGTATAAATGTAGCATTCCATCACCAATGGATCCTCTGCAGTGAATGGGTGCCGTCAGAATGAGATTCCAAACAGCTGATAAAAACATCACGATGATCCACATGACAAATACATTTGGTTTGTAAACAGTGCTTGATCTGTGCATATTTCACTCCTGATTCAGACGAGATGTCTTTTTCATTGTAAAAAGCAATATTATGGAGCGAGGACTCGTATTTTGGCCAGAATCAATGGTTTGAAGTTAAAAATGTCTTAATGCTGTTTTTGTTTTTCACAGCTTTTCACTTCATAAGATGTTAAGTGATGGACTGGAGTGGTGTGGATTACTGTGATGTTTTTTTTGTTTGGTACTTTCTACATTTATATGGTGAAACAGGGTGGCTGTAGTTTATTAAACACATTTTTGTGTTGCCAAGTGATTTTCACCTATTGAGTCCCTGTTGTAAGTGTTTTGACAGGATTGCGCTGTCTCTCAGATTTACTGGGGGATTTTTCGTTGAAATGATTCAAGACACATTTTTGTGGCTTTGACATCAGCTTTATAGTCCTCTTTTTCCTTTGGGCCGTAAATATGCCCACGCAAGCCTTTAAAATGTGTGCGCAAAATGCCTGTAAGGATGAGAAAAACTGTATCGATGCAGTTTTATAGTATTTTTTTTTTCCAGATTTCTGCAGCCCAGCTCATCTACTGCCAATGCTTTTCAGCTTGTGTTCTTCTCTGTTCATGATTTGTGGAGCCAGGCTGCAGTTGCACTCAGTATGTCTCTAGACTTGCAGGCAAACGTTCTTGGTTGGAGTCGAGCAGTTGGATATATATATATACAGACCAAAAAGAAATTGCTGTAATCAGTCCAATTTTAATCATGTATCCAATCTTCAGTATTGAATTATTTCCATTGAACACCAGTGTGAGTGTGGTGACTAGAAACATGAGTGTTTTAAATGTTGTGTTTAATATGCTGTTCACATGATCCTCCTGATATTTGCACAAACACGTTCCTCACTGCAGGCCAGTGGTTTGCGTAAACATGCCAAAACTACACTATGGTTTCTCTTTCCTTAATAGTGACAAACCTTATGCTCTCCGTTAACAGAAATGCTGTTGCAGTTGACTATTTTTATCTTGTTTTTTTAATCTGATGAATTGATTATGATGTGAAGTATGATTTTCATTTTAATAAATGTATTTATTATGCATGTGCCAGTGTATGCGTGATTCATTTGAACACAATGCTGCTGCTGGTTTATAATATTAAGATGTACAGTAATACTTAACATGTCTTTCATGGAAGAGTAGTTGATTTATTATTATTGGGTTTTTTTTCTTCTTGAGACCACTGGGTGTAAGTGTTGATTAACTCTCAACCTTATGAAATTCATGCAACATATTTTCAAAACCAATTTATTGAATTGAATATATAAATAATAAATTACCCAATTGTAGCTTAATAAGTGTTTGATTCCCAGGGAATGTATGAACTGATCAAATGTTACTCTAAGTTGCTTATTCTGATTTATGCATGAATCTTGATATTTTAGCCATTGAATGATCCTTAAAGGACCCCGTAGGATCTGTTCAAGATGGTTATCCTGCTTGTTATTTTACAGTCTTATTTCGAAGGCATAATTGTCTTTGGCTTTATGTTATAGAGATTATAATAAAAGAACTATTCAAAAGAAAACCACAGGCTTCAGGACTTGCATTTCAACAGAAAGCTAAAACTCAAACCAAATAACATGCGGGTTTACAGAAGATTTAAATTTCAGTCTCTTACTCAAGCCTTCATTGGGGCCCCAAAAATCAGGAGCCACGAAGAAGAAGCTTAAAGATAAACACTTGTTCAAGTAAAGTTGCCTTATGATTATTTGCACATAGTCCTACTGACAATATTAATCACTAATGAAAACTAAACTGAAACTAAGAACTGGGTCGTGTACTAACTGTGATCGATTGCGCCGAAGTGCCTTCTGTCTTCACATTAATAACAGGTTTAAAACAACAGCTTAGTCATGTGACAAGGATGACAGTTCGGCTTTCCTGTCCAGAGTGAACTTCGCTCAGTCAGACACAGACACAGACACACATCAGACTGAACCGGAGGTATGTAGAGAATCATAAAGCTTTCATGCAACGCTGTTGCGCTGTTAAACACTCCGGTTTCGCCTGCAGCCGAACGGACTGCTTCACGGCTGATTGTGTGGCTCAACTTGGGCTGCATAAAGAAAGTATGGAGATAACATTTAGCGGAAAGCGTGCTTTGGTGACTGGAGCTGGCAAAGGTAAGCGTTCATACTTAAAGGGACATGTACCCTGCTGGAAAAAAACAGCCCAATCCAGCCTAAACTGGTTTTAGCTGGTCAGCAGGCTGGTTTATGATGGGGTTTGGCCACTTATTTAGCTGTTCAGGCTGGGAGACCAGCTTAAACCAGCTAAGACCAGCTTAAACCAGCTAAGACCAGCTAACCAGTTTAGGCTGGATTTAGCTTTTTTTTTTTTCCGGCAGGGTTCACCCAAACATTCAGCCAGCATCACCCTCGCTACAAATTTCTATACAAAAGGAGAGACACACTCTTTTCCATTCATTTACTAATGAATCGCGACTTAAGACGCCTCAAAAAGGAGATCAAATCACCATAAAAGTATACTATACACTATACATTTCGGTTTTCTTAATACCCTATGGACTGAGAGCAGAGGCGGACTTAACCATTAGGCAAAGGTAGGCGACCGCCTAGGGCCCCCAAAAGCCAAGGGCCCCCTAAAATGCTTTTTATATGCGAGAACAACACGCGTTTCGTTTGCTATTTAAGCACGCGCAACGCTCGCGGTTGTCGTCTGTAGTAGCTAAATAGTATTTTTTTCCATTTAATATTCACATACACTAGTCCATATCGCGGTTTGATTGAAGTGCACTGAATTGCATTTGATTTCAATCAAATTTTTCAATATTTGATGAATTCCGTGACGTTGCTCGTTACACAGTAAACTTCTGTTGTGTAGCATTTTGAATGTACAAAAATGAAAGGGTTTGTTTAATTTTCATTGGAATAAAAGATCATGTTTTTCCTTCATTTGATCACCAGAAAAATTAAAACACACAACACAGAATATCTAAAAAATAAGTAAATAAAATGTAAATTTCGTGGGGCCCTGTTATTGTATACAAATTAATAAATTAAGTTGTTTTCATGAATTCAATTAATTTGATATGTTTTTGATTAAACCATTAAAATGGAATACAGAAAAATTAAAACGGAAATCGCAGAATTTGGGCCCTAAGAATGTAATTTTTGTTAAACTTTTAATAGGCCTAAATTGCTGCTAAATTAAACAAGTTTCATGATTTTAATTAATTA